TCCGAAGTCTTTTATTTAGCATTTCTGAGTACTGGCATAATTGCCATGCTTTCCAAAACTTTGCACCAACAGTTTTTGTAGACCCATCATTTTTGCCGAAAAATCGCCATTTTTTGTGCGTGTGCGCATGCGCGGACTCTATTTTCGGAGTCTTTGTCAGTCTCAATTTCTTACTTCCGGAAACGCTGTTTTTGGAGTTCGTCTTGACTGAAAACATCGCCAACTTGTAATCCGAATTTCCTCCGTTTTTCTGAAAATGGTGATATTGTGTAATTGTATAGATTTATTAAGTTATTTCCACCTACTTAAATGATCTACGAATGAATGGTAAGGAATGAAGGCATTATTTCAGACAGAAAAATATATTTTCAATGTTGTAATACATATAATTAAAAGAGGATTTTGAGAAAATGTGTACTTTAGTATAATTTTTTGCAGGAGGTTTATATTTTCCAGAAACTGATTCTATAGTGACCTAGATTGAAATCTCATACACACATGTACTACCCTAAGTTGTATAAATACTTTATACTCATTGAAGTAAATTTTACTTTTATTAGTCTATTATGATTGATCTTGTATGATGAAGTTGGATCATATTTAATTGTCCGTTCAATGGTTGCCCAAATTAGAGTTCATGCTGCAATGTTAAATGAATTACACTTGAATACATGATTTAAGCAACATTTTTAATTTTTCCAAATTTCATCAAATAACCGATAATTTTTTCCCAATTCCCCATAAATGGCATTTCCCAAAATAGGCTGATAAATCCCTGCTTTTTTGATTTTCAATAGTTTCTAATTCAAAATTTCACAGTATGGTCTGGGTATACTGTATTTTCCATTTTACATTAAATGGCAGTAAATTTGGGTTACATGCCTACCCTAAAAGGATGTCATCAGTAGTTTTCTAGATGCCAATTTGTCAGTAAGTTCTTACTTTCATACAGAAGATTTCAGACAATTTGAGTTCATATGAAACAAATTATTCATTGTCTGTGAAACTTGTAAAAGACACCCCTCAAATTGATACAGTAACAATCACACTTTGATTGATTGATTGATTGTATGTTGTTTTATGTCCCATTCGAGAATTTTTCACTCATATAGATTTGTCACTATATACCGGTGAAGGGCTTCAAATTTTGACCTTTACTCGGCCGGCACTCAGGGCCATTGAGCAGTGAGGGATCTTTATCGTGCCAACGCCTGCCGTGACACAGGGCCTTGGTTTTTAAGGTCTCATCCAAAGGACCCACAACTTTCACTTCAAAGTGCCGAGTGCATGGCGAAGGAACAGTTGCTACCCATTTTTTATCGACATAGGTCAGTCGCAGCCGAGATTCGAACTCATGACCTCCCGATCACGGAGCGAGCGCTCTACCGACTGAGCTACCATGAACAGTAATCACATTTTGAACAACAACTCAACCAGTGTCATAAATTTAAGTGATTACTTTAAAACTGAAAATCAGGTGAAAGTCTGGAATCTTGGGGATTTAAATTGTAGACTGAATTCTAGGGGTCAAAAGTTATAAAAATTACTGGTAAATTAGAGTGGGCACATCTGTAAGACATATATATGTAAATGCTGGCAACAAAGAAATTCAACAATTAAATGCCATTCACAAAAATGTTCATATTTAAAATTTGATGCAATGTTAAACCTTTTGTAAGAATATGCAGTGTTGCTCTGATATCAAATGTTTGATTAATGTCCTAACCTTAACTCCATGAAAAGGATTATTACTCAACAGAATTTGATTTTTTATTTGTTCTTTTTTTGCAATTGATTTATGATAGCTTAGACCAGGAACGTTGACTTCCCCCAAGTTTTGTGAAAATACAGGAGAATAGATCTGTAAATAAGTTTTGTGATCCCCTCGAGCAAAAAGAGAACTGAACCATTTTTCTTGATCAACCATTTTTTTCTTCCTACAATTGACAGTTTTCTGGCAAGAACAGACAGATCAATACAACCTTCATACAATCCTGGAAAAGGGGTATTGCATGCCTCCAGGGAATCTATGTATGAAAGCTGTAGCCATGGACCCAAAGGATCTCTGATAGCTTGAAAACTATCCTTCGCACGTAAACTCTGCCTACACCACCCAGACAACAGCAGCAACGGAACCTGTTCACTGGACCTGAATCAATTTTCTGTAGGGTTTATCATGGTAATTAAGGTGAATTGAGAATTAAACATTCATTATTAGACCTGAAACAACATCTTGTGAATCCCTAGTGTTAGAGGTGTTTTTAAAAGAGGTATTTTTAGCCCTTTCATGAGGAATGAAAATGTTTTTACTGCCCAGTTAATGTAATGTTTTTGTAAACCTGCTGAAGAAGATCAAGACTTAAAGCAATGCTATCAAAGAGGAATACAATATACAACTTGTAATCTTCTGGATCAATAATAAAGCTCCTCAACATTTAATTGCTTGCATCATAAGTGTGATAATGCTATGGATTTCTTTCTATAATTTGCAATTGATAAATATTATGTAGAAATTGATATCACTTGAAGGTGCTGACAAAACAAATTAACCTGAATTTCTTTTCTACAAGACAATTCCTTCAACAAATCTTCTTTTTTCAAAATTATAAAGATTGGAAATCAAAGAACACAAAAAACGGTGGAATTTTAATGTCTTTGAAGTTTCATCTCATGCTATGCCAAAAAATTAATCACAGACAATATGACTCCCACAGACATTCATTATTAACCAAGATAGTATAGTTACCTGTGAGGATTTTTTGAGTACCTATAGATGCACTTTGATAAGGTGCCACTCAAAATAAATACATGATGCTGTGCTAGCCAGAATCGTCTTAACACAGCCTCACCCTTGCAAGAACATAGAAATGTGTCAAAGATTAACAAGTACTAATGTACAAGGTGTAATTTTATTTTCCTCCATCCCACTTAGTTTAATGCAAGGTAATGTCAAGGGTATATGTACCTTATTATTGAAAGCAGAGCTAATTAGTAACAGTTGCTAAGACAACAAATAATATTTCTATAGCAACACCCAACAACAGATAAGTATTCCATATAACATACATACAGGTGTGGCTCGGAAATCTGACCAGTCAAATGGTGAAATGATTTTTCAAGCAAAACGATAGAGATTCTAAACACATTTATCACTGATATTACTTAGATTATCTTGAAATCAAGTGCTTATAAATTCCAACAAAAACTTAGTAAATTGAACCAATTAACTAATCTTTTTCTACACTCACACCTTTACCAGATAACAAAATATGCATCTCTTTTTTATTATTATTATTTTCTACAGCTCTTACTCCTGATGTGTGCTCGGCTTTGTAAGTTGCATATATTTGTGTTACACGTACTGCATGCACATCCCTCATAAACCATCAATATTTATTACAATTCCTAACTACTTTAAACCAAAAAATTGGTAGCATTTTCTGAGTGATATGTAATGTTGAAAACAAAAGCACATTAAAATGTAGCATCAACTTGTTCATTTAAAAAAGATTAAATTTTGAAATATTTTAATTGACTGTCAATATCATCTTGAATATCAAAAGGGGTGGGGGAGGGAGGGATGCAGATCCAAAAAATTTCATCAAAATAAACAAAACAATTAAGAAAACTTTACTCAATTCCTGAGACAGTGCACTTATATGTTTTCCGACACTTGGGATAGAAAAATTAGTTTCAATGTTTTTAAGAAAAATCTCCACTTCAGAGAGACTGATGGTAAATCTCTTAAATCATTACATAATAATGTAAACTAATGTTAAGTTAGTTTGATGCTTTCATGGCTGGTATTTGAAGGAAGCTTTTGATGGTAAAGAATCCTCTCTTTCCCTGGAGCATAAGGAGAGAACAATATTTTTTAAAGTTCTTATTGTTATGAGCTTGTAAAGCTGTACTTATAAGACGACAATGGATATTTGATTCCAAATAAAACGTGAAAGACCTTAAATGTCCAGGTCAGACCTACTAAACTTTCCAAAATCTCGGCAATAGGAATTATTATTTCAGTTCTAGTGCCAAAAAAGTTAAAAACATACTTATGCACTTCATGCAAGAGGCACATGTATCTGTACAAAAAGGTACATGTACCCATACAAGCTGAATATCACACATTCATTGCAGGTGTATAAGAAGTTCCCACATCGACCAAGGTGTAATTTTTTTTCTGAATAATTATAAGCTGTTTGAACATGTCAAATGTAAACATGTACCTACAAGGGCTCTTTTTAAACTCTTCAAATAGTTATCAAAATACTATTCATGTACTTAAATCATGTTAGTGGGGTAGTTTCCTTTCAAGCATACAGTAATATTTAGTTATTTCCCAAATTAAGACATGACTACCAAGCCCATACAA